TATTATTATGCATTATAGGGCACCAACAAAAGAGTAATTTAACAAAAATGTTATAATTATAAATTATATAATATTATAAACTTATAATATTTTGTATAATTATATAATTGATTCTTTTTATTTAGAGGTCTAATAATGATATTGTATATGTTCACTCATTTAATATTACAATATGCATGATTGTAAAACTTATAATTTTAAAAATAAAAATAATTGGTACACTATTCAATTCAATATATTTAACAATACCTATCAGTTTAGTTATTAAAATTTGCTTTTAAAAATTTTTTAACATTGAATTCAAATTTAAAAATATTAATTTTTTAATAACTGAACCAATGGTTGTTGTAATACCAATCATTATCTTTTTGAAGAAGGTTAAATCCTCAATTTAGTCCCTGAACTATTGTACTGACCCTTGATTTGGTTCCTAAACTAAAAAAATCCTTAATTTGGTCCTTAAACTCTACAGTTTACCAATTTACCCCAAGTTAATCCTTCCATACAAAAACCAATTGACGTATCTTATTATTAATGTGATACATGACCGTTAAATTATTGTTTTTCGTCATTAATTTACTATTTTTCACTATTAGCCATTAAGTTACTGTTTTTCGCTATTAAGTTACTGTTTTTCGCTGTTAAGTTACTGCTTTTCACCGTTACGTTACTGCTTTTCACTATTACGTTACTGCTTTTCACCGTTAAGTTACTGCTTTTCACCGTTGAGTTACTACTTTTCACCGTTGAGTTACTACTTTTCACCGTTGAGTTACTCCTTTTCACCGTTGAGTTACTGCTTTTCACCGTTGAGTTACTGCTTTTCATTGTTAAGTAATGGACACATCAGTTTTTTTGGTATGGAATGACCAACTTGGGGTAAATTGGTAAACAATAGGGACTAAATTGGGAGTTCATACAATAGTTTAGGGACCAAATCAATGATTTTTTTAGTTCAAGGACCAAATTGGGAGTTCGTACAATAGTTTATGAGCCAAATTGGGGGTTTAACATTTAAAAATGATAGGTATATCCTCTAGTTCAACACACCTAATAATACTCAAACGTTCAATAATTAAAATTTGCCTTTAAAAATTTTCCTGTCTTGAATTCAAATTTGAAATTAAATATTAGTGTTTTAATAACTCAACCATGAGTATTGTTAAATATGTTAAACTATAGGATGTACCAATCATTGTCTATAAT